GTTTTTTTCGTCCCCCCCCCCCCGGCGTCCCGATATTTCACCTGGGTGATCTGGTCACCCTAGCTCAGCTGGCCAGCAGTGGTTCTCCAGCCAACCGCAGGGCTTGACTTGCCCTAGGATAGCTCAGGGTCCTGGTATCACCATGGACGTTGCACGAGGACGGATGTTTGTCCCTACATTTTGTGGCTGAGGAATAGGTCAATGGGCCTAATGCTGCAGGGTGTCCAGGAGCTCCAACCTCCCTGCCCCACTGCTCGGACAGACACAGAGACGCCAATACACAGAAGTTACGCTGAGCACCGAGGAGAGCGAGGAGCTCTATGGACACCCGCCTCTCTCTCTGACCAGCCACCCAAGAGCAAAGGTGTGCAGTTACTGCTGGCCTGGCCTGAATTCGGCCTAGAAGCGAAAGAGGCTGGAACCCACTCCCCTGATCCGGTTCCCCTCTGCGGTTGTGCCTTGCTCCCCAGCAGGCCACGAAACCAGACAGGCATTTCCACAAACACAGAACTCACCGGCTGCCCCAAAGCTTTTATTTTAAATGAACGTTTCGGGGGGAAATAGACCCCCCCAGGCTCTGAAAGACGGCGTGAGGGCGGGGCTGGGTTAACAAGGATGGTGACATGGGCGTTTCCCACCAGGGACATGCCATGAATACACAGCAGCAGCATGAGGAGATGGTGATGAAAAGGCTGCGGGTACACGGCAGGTTTGACTTCATTCTAGAGAAATGGTCCCCAACCATGCTAAGCAACTGGGCCAGCCCGCACTATCCAGCAGCCTCCCGTCCCTGCCAGTCCCATCCCACTGGCTGCCTAGCCAGGTGTGTTCTAAGCCAGAACGCACAGTCCTTACCAGTCCTCCAGGCTCTGCCTGCCTACCTCAGGGTGCTGACCCCCAAGGAAGTGACATGCCACCTCCAGTCCATGAGCTCCATGGCAATTGGAAATGCACGCCTGGCCCAGTGGCAGACAATGGCAGCACATCAGGGCTTGTCATGGGACAGGGCAGGCCCAGATTACCAACCACAGGGGGCTGAAACGCCCATTCCTACAGCTGTAACCTAGTGAGTGCCCACGGCAAGTGCAAACACGCGCAGTTATCGTGGGTATTAGCGCAGCACCAAGAGTGCCCGCCCCGAAGAACTTCCTCTGAAGGCACAAGTCCATGTCACGCCCAGCGCTAACCAACATCCAGAGCAGGACGCGTCCTTGCCAGTGCAGCTCCGTGGCTGGGAACGAAGCAGCTCCATGCCCACAAGCGAGAGGGAAGCGGGGAGATGGCTGCAGGAACGGGGTGCACACGGCTCTCCGTACTAGGGTGGAAGCAGCCCAGTCCCGTTTGTGGAGTGTACAGCCTTTCACTCCCCACCGCCTGAGGGAGAGTCCCCTCCAGAGCACCGCGCTCCATGAACCCTGCTGCACAGCGGTGCCTGGCTGGCATGCCGGGGGACTTGCGGATGCTAGACAAGAACGAAAGGAAGCAACACACTAGTTTGTTCTCACCCTAGCCAGCCGCTGCTGCTGGGAGGGGCCCAAAGCTTCAGGAGACGTCAGCACCGAGACAGAGCGCGGTCAGGTAGCAAAACACGAGGTGCAAAAAGCCCCAGTGGGTTCCGTAGCCAGCTCCCCCCGGCGCTCCTGGGAGCTATGTAAGGTCAGTGCGGGAGAAAGGCACTGGCCTAGCAGCCCTGCAGCCCGCCGTCCCGGTGAACCAGGCAGCAGGTATGGCAGGGCCCTGCAAGCTTCGCATGTGCACACGCCCATCTCCCAGCCCTGCCCCAGCAGAGCAGCTCTGGGGCTCAGCGGAGGCCAGGGCCAGTGACCCGTCCTGCCCGCGTGCGGGGACTGCCCAACAGGACCAAGTGTGGCAATGGCTGGTGGGAACCGCTCTGAGACGGTCACACAAAGGGCTCCTTTCCCTCCGCCTGTCCCAAGCTCCTGCAGCCGGTGCTTGTGACAGCAGGGACTGGTGCCCGGGCAGAGATGGCGCAGCACAGGCCCCACCTCACTGTCACTAAGTGAAGATGTGATTTGGTCCCCCCCTGCCCCAACCAGCCCTGGCTTCTTCTTTCTCATCACTTGGTCCAGTTCACCCAGCCACGCCCACAGGCCAGGCTGTCCCCTCCCCACCTCTGCTCACTCATCTGCAGCAGGCACTTCAGCCCCCACAACACCCCGCAGCAGCAATCCACGCACAGGCGGTGCCTTCGCCGCCGGCGCAAGGGATCCTGGGAAGGCCTGAGCGCCAGACGCTGCCTGGGAATGCACAGCCCTGGGGACGGCTTGGGGGGCAGCTGTCGGAGCCCGGCCCATTGCTGAGTGCCCGACCTACCCAGGTGATACCCCCTTAGCTGTAACAACCTGGGGGACTGCTGGCTGTGTTTCCAGGTAAGGAAGAGAACTTATGAGAGGGTCACTACACGCGCTGTCACTGCTGCAGGCCAAGCTCAGTGCACACACCAGGGTCCCTTCATCCCTCTGTTCCCCACATGCTCCCCGGGTGCCACTCTCCCTTCCCCCTCTAGTACAGGGGCTCCCTGTTACAACCCACAGCCTCATGCTAGAGGCTGTGTGCCCCCCATTCTGCCCTACACAATCTGCCAGGAGCTCTGTGTGTGCCCCATGTCCCCCTCCCATGCTACTGTCCCCCCAGCCACGGGCTCTGCGTGCCCCACCCCCCCAGTCCTCCCGCCATTAGTATTTCTTTTCTTCTCATCTGGGACATACGACTCATGGTGTCGCCATGTTACTGCTGGGACGACGGGCAGAGCGTAGCTGGGAGTATCATGCTGGAACATGGCTCTGTTCTCCACCGTGGAGCTAATTACACACCTGGCCGAGACTGGTGGCTCAGCTAAGCCGGTACCAGGGCTCCCCGTGTCCCCCCCACTGCCCCTTCTGGTTTTCAGTCCTGAGCTGACGGGCGGTGGCCCTGCCATCAAGCTGAGCTCTGCCCCAGCACGCAGCTTCTCCTTCCCGCTCCCCAACAAGGGCATCTCGTCCTCGTGGGGCCCCCACTGCTTTCAGACCGACTGCAGCCTTCTCTGGGGCTGGGGGCTGGGCCTCCTGCCCCTCCCCCCGGGAAGTGCTGGGGGGGGGGTGGGGACGGACGCTGTTACTGCGTCTACAGGGGCTGGAGCTTGCAGCCCAGGCGGCCTTTCACTGCCCTGCAACTGGCTCTGGGGGGGATCCAGAACCCAGCAATGCCCTCGGTACAACATACGCCCAGGCTAGCTTGGATCGTAGCTTCCAAGAGCCGCCCCCACCCCACATTTAGCTCCAGGGAGGCGAGAGGGGAGAGCTCCACGGGCCGTTCCCACCCAGGGAGTCTCTTTCAGGGTTTGGTTTCCCGGGACACTCGCCGCAGCGTCCCAGGCTGCCGGCTTGCTGCACCCTCCCCTCGCTCTGCTCCCAGCAGTACTCGGCGTCTCTTCGCACCCTGCAGCAACGTGTGCTGATCAACCTGCCGGCTTGCCCGCTGTCAGCAGCCGTGTCCTCTCTGAAGTTCGGTGTGTGCAGAATGAAGTCAGATCTGGCTTCTGGCTGTACCGTTCCCCAGTCCGTGTCTGGTGTTGGGGGTGCGGCAGCAGCACGGGTTAGCCCCCCGTTCCCAGATCCCAGTCACCATACAGCTCGCCGATCCGGCGTACGCTCTACTCATTCCGGCTCGCCCAGGGGACGGGTGCTCTCTGGTGCACCCGCAGAGCTCTCTGATCTTCGAAGCTCCTGCCACCCCCGCTGCATTGACACCACATCTCTGCTTGCTTGGCTTCAGGAGCTCCCTGCCGTGGGGGACGTGGTGGCTGAGGTGCCCTCTGCAGGCCAAGCGCATGTGGGGCCAGTCCCCACCGCGGTGCAGGGTGAAGGTGTCCCCGTGGGGGAAGTTTGCGTGGTGCTGGGGGAAGCGTACGGTCTCTGCTGGGAGTGGGTTCTGCGGTGAGTAAGGAGATTGGGCTTCTGGCTGAAGGTCTTCCCGCAGTCACCGCAGCTGTAGGGCCGCTCCCCGGTGTGGGTGCGGTAATGGGTCACCAGGTTGGGCTTCCAGCTGAAGCCCTTCCCGCACACGGTGCAGGCGAAGGGCCGCTCGCCGGTGTGAGTCCGCTGGTGCGTGAGGAGGTTGGGCTTCTGGCTGAAGCTCCTCCCGCACTGGGTGCACTGGAACGGCCGCTCCCCGGTGTGGGTCCGGAGGTGCGTGACCAGCGTGACCTTCTGCCGGAAGCATTTCCCACACTCCGGGCAGGCGTACGGGCGCTCCCCACTGGGCACTCGCTGGGGGAGCTCCAGGGCGACGTGTTCCTTGAAGGGTTTCCCGCATGGGGAGTGGGAACAGCACCTCTTCCCGGCGTGGGCCTCCATCAGATCCACGCTCGGTGGCCTTGCGGGAGGTCTCTCCCCAACGTGGACACGCTGGTGGATCTTCAGGGACATCTTGCCCTTGAAGCGCTTGGGGCACTGGGTGCAGGCGAAGGGCCGCCGCCCCACGTGGGTTCTCTGGTGGGCGAGGAGGTTGGGCTTCTGGCTGAAGCTCTTGCCGCACTGGGGGCAGGCGAAAGGCCGCTCGCCCGTGTGGGTCCGGTAGTGAGTCACCAAGTTCCCCTTCTGGTTGAAGCGCCGCCCGCACTGGCTGCAGGCAAAGGGCCGCTCGCCCGTGTGGAGCCGCTGGTGCGTCATCAGGTTGGCTTTCAAGCCGAAGCTCTTCCCGCACACGTCACACCGATGGGGCCTGTCGCCCCAGTGGCTCTCCCGGTGCTTTGCCAGCTGGCTGTGCTGGCTGAAGCTCCGCCGGCACTCGGGGCACGTCCAGGCTGTCTCCCCCACCTGCGCATCCGGCTGGGCTGGCAGGGACAGCCGGGGCCTGAGGCCTTTCCCGCGTTCCGGAAGCGGATACGGCTGCCATCCTGCATGGCTGCCCTGATGGGCAACAAGAGCCGGCCAAAAGCTAAAGCTGCTCCCGCACTGGTTACAGATGAAGGGCCGCTCTGCCCCGGGGGCCGCGTGCGCCGCGTCGCCAGGGCCCAGGCAGGGTTCCAGGTGTCTGAGGAGATGTTGGTTCAGGCTGAGGCCTCTCCCATACTGGGCGCTCTCGCAGGGCCTCTCCCTGGCCTGGCCGGGCTGGTGCTTCAGAAGAGCCGTCTGTGGGCAGCTTTCCCCACACTGCACGCACAGGAAGGGCTGCTCTGCTGAGGGGGTTTGCTGGGGCAGTGGGATATGCGGTTTCTGGGGGAAGCTGCTACCACAGTCAGTGCACGTGCACAGTGCCTGGCTTCCGGGGATCTTCTGGGCCGGCACTGGCTGAGTGGGGTCGCGCTGGCTCTCCTGCTCGGCACCTGTGGGCTGGAGCGGCACGGCGGGGGGACTGTGGAGTGGGATTGGCTCTGCATTCCCACAGGGTCTGGGCTGGCTCAGGCTGTGGGTTCTCTGGTGTGCTTTCAGGGACACCTTGTCCTTGAAGCACTTCTGGCACTCCCCGCACGGATAGGGGCGTGCATCCGTGTGGGTGCTCTGGTGAGTCACCAGGTTGGTCTTCTGGGTGAAGCGCTTCCCGCACTGGGGGCAGGCGTAGGGCCGCTCCCCGGTGTGGGTCCGGTAGTGAGTCACCAGGTTGGTCTTCTGGTTGAAGCTCTTCCCGCACTGGGCACAGCTGAAGGGTCGCTCACCCGTGTGGGTCCGGTAGTGAGTCACCAAGTTGGGTTTCTGCGTGAAGCTCTTCCCACACTCGGGGCATACGAACGGCCGCTTTTCCTCCTGGTCTCCCTGCTGTGCTGGGGACTTTGGCTTCCCCCCAAGCCCGCCCCACTGCGGCGGCTTCTCCCCCACGTGGGTTCTCTGGTGGGCAATGAGATTGGCCTTCTGGCTGAAGCTCTTCCCACACTGCGTGCAGGAGAAGGGGCGCTCCCCGGTGTGAATCCGCCGGTGAGTCAGGAGGTTGGGCTTCTGGCTGAAGCTCTTCCCGCAGTCTGGACACCTGTAGGGCTTCTCTCCCGTGTGGATCCTCTCGTGCGTGATGAGGCTCTGCTTCTGACGGAAGCGTTTCCCGCACTCGGCACACTGGAAAGGCCCAGCTCCTAGCTGACGTACGACGGCGTCTGAACACTTGCTGAAGCCGGCTGATTCTTCCATCTTGATCCTGGTCTGGTTTCTCTGCTGCCTCTTGGATCCCAGCTGCCGACTGTGAAACGAGCCGTCGGAACTGTCACAGACCACGGGGGACAGCTCCAAGTCTGCAGCAAAGCTCTCCGAGTTCTCTTCCTGCTCGACTGCGTTCACACCCCCGTGCTCTGCTGGATTACAAAGAGAGAGTGACGGCATGAACTCATGGGCCTTCCTTGCCAGGTGTAAAACTCGACAGAAACCAGCAGCTCCGAAGGCTGGGCCCAGACTGTCCCCAGCTGAGGGCAGCCTGCAAGAACAGCAGAGGCCGCAGCCAACTGGCACAAGGCAGAGCAGACGGCAGCTGGCCTCATCTTTGCTATGGAACTGCAGCCCCGGGAGACAACAGGTCCAGCAAACCGCCCCCGTGCTGATCTCAGCCTCGCTGGAAGGGGAGCCCAGAGCAGAGCCCGTCGCTGCTCTCACTCACCTACACAGGCACTTCCCAGGATCTTGCTCTCCTCCACTTTCTGCTGAGCCTCGATGTATCGCTCCTCCCATTGCTCAAGCCGGAAGAAACCATCGGGCTTGAAAAATCCGTAGCCTGGTGGAGGGGATAGAGGATGTCATCAGGTACGGTTAGGCGCATCCAGTGCCAACACCACTGTGCTGGAGACCATGCATCTGCTACTTCACAAATCAGATAATTAACCCAAGTCCCAGGGTAACCTCTGTCTTTATTCCAAGCCTCTGCTGCCTAATGTGGAATTAAAGATACCGGACAATACAATCAGCACACCCCTGGCTAGCCCTCCTCGTCCTCACCACTGTCCTGGGGGCGTCTGGCAGACAGAGGAGAGCAGATCCGGCCAGGAAAACAGTGAGCTTTCAACGGATCTTCCAAATGTTTGTTCTCTGTTGGTGCCTTTCAACCCAGAATCTCAAAGCCCGGAACGCGTGTTAATGAATCCCATCTCCAGCCTGTCTCCTGGGAGGCAAGTCTGGATCACTAGCCACACTCTACTGATGGAGAAACTGAGGCCCAGGAGGTTAAGTGACCTGACCCAAATGTGCACAGTGGGTCAGACTGACAGAGCTGGGATTAGAACTCGGGAACCTAGACTTGTCCTTTGCCTTGTCCACTAATCCTCCCTGAACCGCTCAACCAAAGGGGAGGGGCCACAGCCAGATGTCATTCAGGACTGGTGCAAACCCATGACTGACATGTCCCCTGAAACTCTATTTCATCTGATCTGAGTGAGTAAAGACATGGAAGGATTAAGCCAGTGGCGGTTTCATCTGCTTCTCTCGACCTCGTGTGCTGCTAACCAGCTGTTGTGCTGAGCACTCACCTGCGCAGGGATCCGGTGGACGCTCTAAGCCACCAGAGATCAGCTGAACCCCCACACCTGGTTGTTCCCCTCGTTCAATCCGGAACAAGAGATCGGGTTTGAGAGCCGGGTGGCCTGGTTCGGGGGGGAAAATATTCCTGTTAGCAGGTGCTCGACCACTGCTGCCCGCACTGCAGTCTATGGGAGCCGGGGCTCGGTCCCCGCTGCATTGCTAGCTGGCACTGGGTGGAGGGACACGGCTGCTCAGGGCACGGCTCCAGTCAGAGAGCGGAGAACGGAAAATGGCACAATAATACCCAGCCCCTCTAGTGCCTGGGGAGGAATAAGTCTCCACTGCCCACTCAATCGCCAGTGTCTCATGCAAGATGGACAGTGACAGGGCCAGGCTGGGGGTGGATTTTAGGAGGTGGCCTAAGAAGTGGCCCGAGGCCCTCCAAATAATTTCATGAGGGTCTCTCCAAAGAGGCTCAGATGACAATGACCTTGGAGCAGCACTGACCTGGATTTGAACTGGTGATGCCGCGAGAAAAGGTTCCACAGCCCAGCTCCAGTTCGCTGTGCCATCCCTGCCCCCTCCTTTGAGGGGTGCGATTCTTCGGACATGGCTACACCCAGCCGCCAGGCCAGCCTCACTGCCTTGTGTGGGGGATGGGGCTCTCAGAGCCTGCAGCAGGGGTCCAGACTGATCGCTCTTCCGCGTGGAGCTGCTTTCGCCTGAGGAGGGGAGGGACAGAATGAGGAGGGAGACGAGGGCTCCCTAATGCCCCACCAACCAGCCAGGTACATCGCAAAGAGGGTGAGCCTCTCCAGCACCCCTCACGGCCACACCCAGAGCCACCCACTGGATGCAGTCCTCTGCCCTGCCAGGGAGGGCTGCACAGTGGAGCTGCGAGGAAGCAGAGAGCCTGGCTCCTGGCAGCCCCAGGACAGTTTCCCTCAGCTCCGGGCTCACAGGCTGGTGAGAGAGAGTGAGGGGTGGGCAGCGAGTTTAGTGACACTCGTCTGGGGCTGGAGGGAAGAGCTCTGCCCCATGCACTGGCCGGACCAGCTCTGCTTTCAGGGATTTGAAGAAGGGAAGGGCTCCTCAATCAGTGACAGCGGAGCCCGCCCAGCACTGTCCCCTGACCGAAGAGTTATATTTACATCAGCTCTCTCCAGCCCTTTTACTGCCTGGCATCTCACCTCTAACCTGTGCACCAGACAGTCCTCACCCAGCGAGGTGACCAGCGCGTAGTTCTCCCTCCTCACGGCCCAGTACAGCTCCCTCGGCCATTCCGCTAACGCCGCCCACTCCTCCGGGAGAAACAGATCCTGCCGTCCTCAGACGTCACCGGCACCTGCAACAAGAAGCCCCCACTCAGCACTGCCTGCTTCAGCAGCAGAGCCGTCACCCACCCCGGTCTACTGGGCAAGGCCATTGTGTGCTGGCCGAAAGGGGAGAACAGGCTGTGTGTGCCAAGCACTCGTCCCGGGCGACATGGCTGAGTACAATATGGGTGGCTGGTGGTACCACGGCTCCTGCCTATCTCACCGTGCCGCAGAGGTCATGTCAGAGAGCAGAAGGTTCTGTCTGGAGGAAGGAGCTTGGGATAGCTGGGGTAGGAATGGACAGGGGACACGCCTGTGAACAAACTGCTGGCAGGCAGCATCTCACATATGGGAGTGGCTGGAGCAGGGGACTGGGAGTTCTATGCCCAGCTCTGCCACTGATTCACTATGTGACCTTGAGCAAGTCACTTTCTCTGCTGTGCCTCAGTTTCCCCATCAGTGAATCTGGGATACACCACATCCTCCCTCCCAGGAAAACAGTCAAGCTGTATTTCTTACTGTAGGTAATGTCTCTAGCTAATAGAGCCCAGAACCAAAGAGAAAGCTGGGCAGGAGGAGAGGGGGCCCAGAAGGATCCTGGACTCCCGGAAGTACAGTGACTAAGACCCAAAGGGCTCTCAGGAAAGGTGAGGAAACTGAGGCAGGGTCTTGCACACAGCTGTTTGTTACTTCTCCATAGCTGTATATCCCTTGTGCTCTGGGTATGAGTGAGGTGTGTGGAGTTCAGAAATACCTTTGCAACGTCTGTGTTACTTGCTTTAACTGTAACAAAGTCCCTGTAGGGTTAACCTGTAAACCAGAGTGCCCGGGCGGGCAGAGCTTCAATGCTGGGAAGACTTGGGGAATCAGCGCTGGTCTTGGGGCCTAGGGCAACTGGAGCGCAGGGTTCCACACCTCCAGGAGGGGGTACCAGACGGATTGGGACCCCAGACGTGTGCCAGGCATACAGACAAGGTGTGGACACTGCGCATGTTGAACAGTTCATCAGGCTATTACAGCAGCCCGGTTACTGTCCCCAAGGGGCAGGGCGCTCAGCCAGGAGTGCGCAGGAAGGCACAAAGTAACAAGAAATGGGGTGACGCATTGTTAGGTCTCCAACTCCCCCAGCAAGTGTCCAAACCCCACCACAAAACCCTCACAGAGCACCAAGGGATCAAAGGCAGCCCCCGCCCACCACAGCACCACCTTCCTCTCTTCTGTGATGGGAGGAAATAGAAAGCAGAATGAACCCCTTCCTGTTCGCAATGTGTGTGCCCAAGACAGCCAGCAGTCAGGCAAGCCTCTGGCACCCTGCAGTTCCCCAGCTGCGGCCTACCTGGGCAGCACCCCCTGCAGGCACTTTCCCATCGGAGACGCCTCGGTGGAAGATGCCGTGGCTCCCGTGTGGAGGATGTGAGGACGAGATCCTGTCCCTTCACCTTTTATTGGGATTGGTAAGTCGAATCGTCCCTTCTCCCAGCTTCTTCGAGCGGCTGCTGCAGATCCCTGCACTGACAGCAAGGAGAGCTAATAAGCCGGGGCTGGGGACAGGAGAGAGGCACAACCCGAAGGCTGGGAAGCTGCTCAGAGAGAGACTTGACCGACACGGTCATCCCACCTCTCTCCAGCCATCTTAGGGAAAGAGTTCAGCTAAGCCCAGGCTCTGTATTGAATTCACAGCGCTCCTGTTATTGCAAACTTCCCCAAGACCAGCCCGCTCAGCGCTCCTGGGACTTGTAGTCCATGCTGGCGAGAGGATGCTACCACACGTGAGTGCTGCCTAGCCTGCTTCACAGGACACAATGGGGGAGGGGAGAGAAAACTACAGCTCCCAGCAGCGCCCGGTACAGCATGAAGACAGCCTGTCCCTCTCCAGTCCCTGATAACAGTGACAGCAGGGCCCCTTTATCCCAGCCCACCAGCTCGGCTAGACACACAGCCCTGAAGGGTAGCACTGCAGGAAGCAGGAATGCAGACTGCACATCGGCAGACCCGGATTTCCCCTCCTCCCATCGTTTGTTTCAGTAATTCAGCGATTCCTGGCCCTAGTGCTATCCTGTGGCTGAGAGTTCTACAGGTGAATTATGCACCAATTACTTCTTTTGATGAGTTTTAAATGGGCTGCCTTTCCAGTCACTGAACGGCCCTTTGTTCTTGCAGTGTAGGCGGTGATAAAGGAGAGCCCTGATTTACCTGTCCATCCAGTCCTTTCTTTGTCTCCTCCTCTCTACACTGAACTGTCCCAGTCTTCTCAATCTCTCCCGGCCTCCATTTCGTCTCTATCCCCTTCCTATCGCTGCGCTATCTTGTTTGAGAAAGGGGGACCAGCACAGAATGCAGGATTTGGGGGGCAGGGAGATGTATAGGATGGCAGCACTCCGGACAAGAGCCCCACCCCTCATTCGAAGCTGCCAGAAACCTTCCCCAATTCACACACTACAGCCCCCTGCCAAACCTTTACAAAGTAGCCAGTGTTTGCGTGTGTTCCAACTCTGACTAGCTAGCACATGAAGGGTTAAGTCTGATGTGCATGACAACTGCACTCAGCCCCTGATTTTCGGAGGGGTTGGCTGGTTATCAGCTCCCCACTGGAGTCAGGAGAGCTGCACGCCCCCCAGTGCCTGGCCCTGCACGCTGACAGAGAACATCCCATTTCTAAAGCGCTTGACCATGGTTAGCCGATCCTCAAAGCACTCCCACGTAGCAGGCAGTAACGATGGGAAGTCACTTTCCCCAGGCCTTGCAGCCGGTGAGTATCAGAGCTGGGATTCAGACCCAGGCAGGCCTGGCCCCCGGGACCCAGGCTGACCCTGCATTTGAACTGTTGTGCCTGTCCCAGATGTCCGTAGTAACGAGGGAGGAATTACCTCCAGTCTCCGCTCGTTATTTTTCTCCCTGGCAGCAGAGGAGCCTTGCTGTAGCTAATCCTGGAGTGCTGTCGTGTGCTCCTAGCGGGCAGAGCACCTGCTTTACCTCGCAAACGCCATTAGTTCCACTTTTCTGGGGCGGGAGCATTTACTGAACACTCGTCGTCTCTTCTACCCTCTCTGTGTGGAGCTTTCTGCACTTTCCTCTTCATCTGTGCCCACATGCTCTGCTCTGAAGGGAAACGTTCGCCCCGGGCTGGTGCTGGAAGGACATAGCACCCTGCAGGAAAGCTACTCGCTGGGAAATGTTGCATAACCACAGACCAGAATTTGAGCTGAGAAAACAGGCTTTGAACTTCAGCACCTTCAGATGCTTTAAAATCCATGTTCCTCCTGGTTCTCTAGAGCATTCAAGGAACGGGAGGGCAATATGGATACCAGCTAAGCTATGCAGCCTAGGGGTAGTGTCAGGGAAGAAGTTTCATGCCAAGTGCCATCAGGCCGGTTAGACACTGGTGACTGGGAGTGGCTGAGGGACTTCCACACTCCTCTCCTCTGATGCACCCCCAGATGTATTGGGCCACAAATTCTAATAAAAGCCCCCCACCACCACCACCTCGCCAGCTCCATTAGTGCTGTGGCAGCTCTTGGCGAGACTCTGGGCCAGGCAGAACCATTCTCAGAACTCGGCTGGTAAGACAGGAAGCAGTTAAGGAAACTCATTTGGATCAGTGGTTCTCAACCTTTCCTGGCAACTGGAGCAGTGCACCAGAGTAAGGAGCCTGCGATGATCTCACCCCGGTGAGGATCGGCGAGTTCCAGCAGCGTAGGGTCTGCATGACAGCAGAATCAGGCACTCGGACCTCTGCGGCACAGAGAGAATCATCCCCCATTTACAGATGGGGAAACCGAGGCACAGGAAATTACTTGGTCAGCACTACTCAGGAAATCAGGGCAGAGCTGAGTTTGGAACCTGGGCATCCTGACTTCCAGTCCCCAGCTCTCGTCAGTAAGCCACACTCCCCCCTGAAACAAGTGAGGCATTGCCCAGCCCACACCAGGAAGCCCTGTGTGCACACCCCAGTCCCACGAAGAAGCCAAAAGGAAGGGAAGAGGCCGAGCCTGCTGGAGGGGCCATTGGAGCGTGGAGAGGAAAACTGCCCGGGAACTTTGCAACGAAACCAGAGAAATCCCTCCGCTGGCCCCTCGTTCTATTTACAAAGACAACAGAGCTGGGCTTCCGGTGCAGAGGGGCCTCCCGACTGGCAGGCAGCCAGGGACAGGTTTGGCTCAGGGAGGGAGGTGTCAGGAAGGCAGGAGGGGATGGGGTCGAGCCTCCACATTAGCACTGCAGGGAGCACAGAAGAGGAGAGACCCAGGGGCCACTGTACACCCTGCCTTCACTCCCTTATAACTGCTGGGAGGACCACTCCTGACCCACCCATATCAGCTGAGACAAGCAATGGTCATGGTTAGGATAGAGATATTCAGGCCTGTCTGCAAAGGCCTAGACTTTCAGAATTTAGGTGTATTCTTATCACGTAGCTAGTTCTAGAGGCATAAAAGAAAGAATCAAAATCACTGTCTGTCTGTGTAAGGGCCTTCTCTCACTGTGACAGGCTGAGGCTCTGTTCTTAGGCTGAGGCCTTGGGCTAAGCAGCAGGGGCAGCCATAAACTGGGAAGTGAACGGTCACATCCTCACATCCCAAACCAGTCACATGGAAATAAGGCAATCTGGGGCTGTTAGGAATCCAATCCTGTCCTGATATTCCTGTCACCTCCAGAGAAAGGGAAGAGCCTAGAAGATTAAAAGGAAACTTAGTTTGACAGCAGCATCCTGTCTGGCAAGAACTCACTTCTCAATAGCTGGGATGTGAAATCCTCATTTCTGTGTTGTTCTATCACTGTAGTCTCCACTTCCCTATTGTTTGTCTGTATAATCTCTGTCTGGTTCTGGGATTGTTTCTGTCTGCTGTATAATTCATTTTGTTGGGTGTAATCCAATTAAGGTGGTGGGATATAATTGGTTAAATAACCATGTTACAATATGTTAGGATTGGTTAGTTAAATTTCAGTGAAATGATTGGTTAAGATATAGCTAAGCAGAACTCAGGTTTTACTATATAGTCTGCAATCAATCAGGAAGTAAGGGGGGAATGGGAACAGGGACTTGGGGTGGGGGAATTGGAACAGGGACACAGGCAAGGCTCTGTGGTATCAGAGCTAGGAAGGGGGACACTGAGGAAGGAAACTGGAATCATGCTTGCTGGAAGTTCACCCCAATAAACATTGAATTGTTTGCACCTTCGGACTTCGGGTATTGTTGCTCTCTGTTCATGCGAGAAGGACCAGGGAAAAGTGAGAGGGTGAAGGAATAAGCCCCCTAACAGTGCTCCTCGACCACCTCACATAAAGACATACACGGAAATCATTGCTATACCCACCCAGAAAGCACTTTCCAAGGCATACATGTGATAGCCTCTTGATGTGGGGGTGTTGATGGGCTTTTCCATCCCACAGTGCCCAATGCTGTGCTGGGGGCTGGGTGGGCGCTTGAAGCGGGTGGGGGTAAAAGCTGCCCTTCATTCAGGCTAAATGTAAGAAACAATTAAGTCCTTTATGGAATAAGATGGCTGAAACAATAGGAGCCACCACCCAAAACACAGGCCATATGCAAGGAGCTGAGCATTTGCGGGGGGGGGGGGTGGATATTGCTGTGATGGAGCCATGCATGCGTGGAGGGAAGCAGTCAGAAACACCAGAGAGGCACACACAGAGAAGGCAGCAGGGAAGTACCAGAGACAGCCAGAGAAGCATTTGTAGCATGACCTTCAGAGAAAGCTCTTGGGCAGAGTGCTAGCTGGAAAGGGGCTTGGAACCATGAGCAAAGAAGCTCTCTCCAATTGTTTGATTCCTGCTGTGTTCAGGGAGACAGGACTTTGCATACTCTTTGTAGATAAATAGGGTTGCATCAAAGAAATGCCTGATTCCATCGATTGCTCTAATAGAAACAACCCACAAGTCCCCAGATATTGGCTAACCACTCAGATCAGAAAGGGTGACACTCGGAAGCAGGCTTAGGCCATCTGAGTAGAACAACTAAACCCTTGAATCTACAAAGAGAAAGTGCACTTCCCCCCCATCCTGCTGCCTGACACCCAAGCTCAGCCACTTTAGCTCCTTCAGCAATTCGAGTTGTTTCCATATTTCGTTAAGCACAGGGGGATGTTGGACAGTAAGGGTCAATCCAAGCTGAAAGCGCCTGAAAGGAGACTCGAACACAGGATGTGTTTTTCACAGAGGTCCCAGAGCAGTGAGACTGAGCATCTTTGCAATACAAGGCTGTCGCTACTAGCAGCCAGAGACTGGCAAACAGTCAGTGCGTCTTTGAGTCTCCTTCAGCCCATCCCCTCAATTCAAGTCAAACAGAACTAGCACTGCAGGGAGCGGGTTGGACAAACATCAACAGAGCTGAGCTGAAAGCTTGTTCCCAGCTATTACCGAGATTGTTACAGTCGTCCTCCGTCCTCCACGGGCCATGGCACGACGGTCCCCTACAGTCCATTTACAGAGCTAGTGTGTAATGTCCTGTCTAACGGGGCTCCC